CTCCTTGCCTTCCTCCGGGCTTCCAGGAATCACCTGGGGAGTCTCGCGTCCCGGGTCCGGGGGAGTAGCTGGCCGCAGGCTCCGGCCCCAGTCGGGGTCCCCGCGCCCAGGCGAGCGGGGGCCGGGCCGGGCTTTCGCGTGAACCTGCCCCTCGCCCAGGGCGCCGATGGTCAGGTGGTTGCCTGCGCGCCGCTGACTCGCCACCGCTCCACTGGGCCAGCACCCAGCCTCTCCTTGGCGTGGCCTCTTCGGTTGTCCAGCCCGTCTCCCAGCCCTGGTCCCTCAGAAGGAGGGTAACTCCCTTCCAGATGTTACGGTCCGCCTGCGTCTCTCAGCACGCCGGTGGCATTTGGGTTGACCGCGGAGGCCCCCAATGCCAGAGGGTGTCCACGTTCTGCCTTGGGCTCAGCCCAAACTTTGGACGCGCAGAGACCCAACGGGAGCCCTGGATAAGGTGTTGACCCCCTTCCCCTCCCCCTTCCCGGCCAGTTACCCACTCCTGGACTTTGCTCTCTCTCCACCAGGCCAGGGCAGCTGATGGTTGTGGCAGAAACATCTCAAGGTAGCTGGTCCGCCCCCACTTACCCATCTACCTCTTGTCCTCCCCCCCACACCACCACCACCCTGGCTCCCCTCCCTCATGACCGCCTGGATCCTCCTGCCTGTCAGCCTGTCAGCGTTCTCCATCACTGGCATATGGACTGTGTGAGTAAAGTGCGGTGCGGGGGCAACAGGAGCTTGATGATGCACACAAAGTCCCTTGTCCTATTGTAGGCTCCAGGGTGGTACCCAGGGTCACTCTGGCTGTCTCAAAAGCCTGGCCTGGTGCCTGGGCACACAGCCCCTTGGGACAAGCTGGCAAAACTGCTGTCCAGCAGGGTGGCCCTGACAAATATACTTCTAGCCAGGGCAATCTCCAGGGGGCCTCTAGCTGGGGGACATGCTGCAGGTGCTGGTATGGCATCAAGCCTCAGGGACCCCAACTTGAGTCCCCAGGAACAATAATGAGGCTGAATGAGACCAGAAATCAAGGTTGAAGAGAAGGGTCGTGGGGTGGGTTGATGGGAAGCTCAGGAAGGCTGGCCAGGGTGACAGTTCTGTTCCCACAGGTATGCCATGGCTGTGATGAACCACCATGTATGTCCCGTGGAGAACTGGTATGAAGGACTCTGCAGACAGCCTCGCTCTAAAGTTTCCTTCATCTCTGTCCCCTCTTGGGCCCGAGGGTGCCACGAGCCAGACTGCAACCCAGAGCCTCACTGCTCTTCTCTGAAATTGGTCCCCAGGCATGACTTCATGCCTACGCACTTCCCACCATCCCTTTGCCCCTTTGGTTACTGCTTCAGGCCAGCACTGGGGAGTGTGATCTTCTGTCCCTGTGGGGGAGGTCTGGGAGAGAGTCCTCTTTGAGGCCTGAGGCTATAGGCCAAGGGACTGGGGGCAGTCCCTTCCCCCAGTCTACTCCCTGTCCTGCCTGCCAGGTCCTACAACGAGTCCTGCCCTCCTGACCCTGCTGAGCAAGGGGGTCCCAAGACCTGCTGCACCCTGGACAATGTCCCCCTCATCAGGTAAGGCCTAGATACTGGGCAGGGGGAGATCCGAGGTCCTCCCAGACAGACCCTCAAGCAAAGAGCTGTCCTTGGGTCTCAGGAATAATAAGTATCCTAAGAGCCACTTCATAACAACACTACTTGCCAGTTACTATGGGGCAGGCACTCTGCTGAGCGCTTTATATGCATTGTCTCTTTTCATCTTCCCAGGAGTGAGGTAGCTATTGTTTTCACCATTTTATAGGTGAGAAAACAGGCTCAGTCTTACTCATCCAGGTTACACAGCTAATAAGTGGAGGCACCTGGATTTCAGCTCGAGCCCTCAGATTGCCCAGCCCGTGTTCTGGCTCAAGGATAGCCAAACCAGCTGCAGGGCTCAGCAAAGAGTGTCAGGGTTGCCTGAACACTCCTGGGCACTCCCTTCTCTCTCACACACGAGCTCTGCTTTGGGGGCCCAGCCTGGAACCAGTTGTTCATGAGGGACCCTGGCTTTTCACATAAATCAGTGGCCTGCCTGCTAAGGAGCAGGTGCAGGTAAACCAGGGGAGAGCCAGTGAGCCAGAATGGGGGCCCCCTGGGCCTCCTGCCGCCCTCTTACTCTGTCCTTCCCCCTCCTCGCAGCAAGTGCGGCTCCTATCCCCCAGAAAGCTGCCTCTTCAGCCTCATTGGCAACATGGGTGCTTTCATGGGTGAGTTGTACCCTTAGCCCTGACCCTGCCTGCCCAGCCCAGTGCCCCCAACACAGAAAGGCCCAGGAAGCCCTTCCTCTGTGCAGCCCTCCCCACCAAAGGCTGAGGCAATAGAAGCAACGTCTCTCCCCTTCCTTGAAGGCCAAAAGCTGACTCCCACACAGCCACCCTGCTGGCTGGAGCCTAAGGAAACCTAGTTCCCCACCCACCTGTCCATTCTGAGGGGCAGGAGCACCACAGGGTCTGGAGGAAGCTGACAGGCTCACTGGGCAGGGCCAAGGCTGGAGGAAGGCCTCAACTGTGCTCTCCTCCCCCAGTGGCCCTGATCTGCCTCCTGCGCTACGGGCAGCTCCTGGAGCAGAGTAGGCACTCTTGGGTTAACACCACAGCGCTCATCTCAGGCTGCACCAACGCTGCGGGCCTCTTGGTGGTTGGCAACTTTCAGGTGCTTCCCCTTCTTCCCCGCAAACCTTGAACTTTACCTAACAAGATGTGGCTGCCTGTAGGGTGGCACCTCAAGGTTGGGACTGGAAGGAGGGAATGAGAAAGGAGGGGGAGGAAGGAAGAGGGAGAGAGGAGATTCACTGGAGGGGTGGAGGGTCGGGGCCAATGGCCACATCACCAACTGGCCCTTCTCTGGGCCCAGGTGGATCATGCCAGGTCTCTGCACTACGTTGGAGCTGGTGTGGCCTTCCCTGCGGGGCTACTCTTTGTCTGCCTGCACTGTGCTCTCTCCTACCAAGGGGCCACCGCCCCACTGGACCTGGCTGTGGCCTATCTGCGAAGCGTGCTGGCTGTCATCGCCTTTATCACCCTGGTCCTCAGTATCCTTTCAGGACGGGGCAGCCGGGAACTCATCCTCTAGCTCAACCTTTCTCCCTCCCAAGAGGATGGGGGATGGCGGCCTAACACTGCCATGTGGGGGAGAGGCCTAACACCTCTCCCTTTGGAGAGGTGAGGCCTGAGACTGCAGAAGGGGTGTTGCCAGGTTTCCATATGTCCTACTGAACATTTCCTTAGCCCCATTTCAGGTGGAGTCTTCTTTGTCCATGAGAGTTCTCAGCTGCAACATGGGGCAGCCCTGTGTGAGTGGGTGTGTGTCATCGATATCCTCATTTTCTATGGCACCTTCAGCTATGAGTTTGGGGCAGTCTCCTCAGACACACTGGTGGCTGCATTGCAGCCTACCCCTGGCCGGGCCTGCAAGTCCTCCGGGAGCAGCAGCACCTCCACCCACCTCAACTGTGCCCCCGAGAGCATCGCTATGATCTAAGGTCTGGGGAGGGTGGCTGGCCCGGCCTCGGCAGCACCCCACCCCATATCTTCTTTGCATTTATTTTGTACCAAAAACAATTTTGAGAAAGTATTCTGTTGGGATCCGGGCTTCCTCACTTCTGGAGAAGTGGCCATCCCATGTCCACCTGTGCCATAGAGGAGTGGGCCCTGCCAGCTGCCATAGCTGCATGACCTGCTTCCCCACCCCACAGTGTTGTTTTGTTTTTAAAGGTCACCTGTCCTCACTCACCCAGCCAGCCCTTCAGGTGCCTTCTACTCCCAGTGCCAAAGCCAGACCACTGGGGTTTCCTGCTGCAGGAATTGGGGGCTGGGAACAGCAGAGGGGATAGAAGTCTGGTGGAGGTGGAGTGGGCACGCCTTAGCCTACGGAAAGGCCCATTTCTGGGCCCACTGAGCTGCACTGGGATTCTTCACTCTGCCCCTCACTTCCGTTAGGGCAAATAACACAGCAGAACCACGTGGGTATTTTAGTACTTTTTTTTTTTATATTAAAAGGATTCTAATTTGCATGTTTGTAGTCTGTTCTGGAGAGTCGGGGGGCCTGATCCGGGATGGCTTTCCATAAGCCAAGGAGGGCAAGCCCTTGCCCCCAGGAGAGTGCTGAATGCACTCTTGCCAGAAACAAAGGCTGCCAGGTGCCATCCAAATACCCCTTCAAAGGGCTTGAAACCCTTCTGGACCTCTAAGCAATCTAAAGAACTGCCTTGGTCTGATAATCTCACCCATCCCCCACTCAGAGTCTGCTTTGAACTTTGATTCCTTAGGAGGCATGGGGGGAAGGTGGGGGTGGTACAGAGAGCAACTTTAAAATATTAAACGTGGCTTTCTCAATGGAGAGAAAGAAAACCTCTGGGATTACAAAGTTAACTAGACATTGCAGTAGGAGGAGGGTGCAGGCTAGTTTATCAGCTTTTTTTTTTTTTTTTGGAGACAGTTTTGCTCTTATTGCTCAGGCTGGAGTGCAATGGCATGATCTCAGCTCACTGCACCCTCTGCCTCCCAGGTTCAAGCAATTATCCTGCCTCAGCCTCCCAGGTAGCTGGGATTACAGGTGTGTGCCACCACGCCCAACTAATTTTTGTATTTTTAGTAGAAACAGGGTTTCACCATGTTAGCCAGGATGGTCTCGAACTCCTGACCTCGTGATCCACCTGCCTTGGCCTCCCAAACTGCTGAGATTATATGCGTGAGCCACTGCACCCGGCCTAGTTTATCAGCTTTAAGTAATTAATTGGGTACCAGACCCTGACACATTTTGCCTTCCAACCATGAACACATAGGCCCAAGCCCTGGCTGATGCAGTAATCCAGTTCTTTACCACTGCCATGAGTCCAGATGGGCCAGCAGGGAGGAAAACCGCAGCCTGGTGCTTTCTGTGGTTTAGGATCACCTTCCCCAACAGGAGTAGAGACCTGATGGAGGATGCAGAGCCCCTGGCCAGGTCTGTGATCAATACAGCCTCAGGGTGGGTAAAGAAACCTTTAATGAGGATTCAAGGTTAGTAAGGAAGACGCAGAGGGCCAGCACTCAGCCCCAGCCTCCTCACGTGTACATGGCTCCATGGAGGTTCTCCAGTCGGTGTTGCTGCTGCTGTTTTCGAGCCTAAAGGAAAGAAGGCACTCTGGGCAGGGGCCCAAACTGAAGGCCTATGGGTGAGGGGATGGGAAGCTATCATGGGGTTGACTCTCTCTGGCATCTGCATTGCTGAGGCTCTTACCACAAATCAAAGTCACTAACAAGGCAGCCAGAGCCAGGGATTCTGAGGCCTACCCAGTCCTGCTGAGGTGGGAAGTGATGGCAGCGGGGACAGGACTGAGGGGGAGTCCATTACGACCCCTCCACTTAACCATCAGCCCCTACCTTATCTCGTCTGTGCTCCTCATAAGTGTCGTCATCAGTGGGCAGCTCATGGCGGCACAAGGGACAGGAATTTGTCTGAGAAAAGTAGAGTAGTGTTCTAGCCTTGGTCTGATCTTCATAAGCTGATAACCACCCTCCCCTGTTCCCAACTGCCACTCTTCTTCAGTCCCCCAGCAGTCCATGAACAGAAAGAAGCTTGAGTACTGGGCCCAGGGCAGGGTGAGAGCTGGAAGAAGAGAAGCAGTACCTTGCTTAGCCAGGGCAGAATGCAGCTGGAATGGAAAAGGTGATGGCAAGGCATCTCAATGGCAGTCTCCTCCTCCTCAAATTCCAAAAGACACACGGGGCACTTGAGCTCTTTAGGAAGGAGCGCTGGTCAGGAGAGCTGCTACAGGCTGTGCCTCCCAAGCTCCCACTCCTGAAGGATACTTGCCCCCACCTGACCTGGAAAACTGAAGGACCCAGACCACAGTCTGGCTTGGGGAAGGGGTGGGTCTGGCCCAAATAGCAGAAAGAATTAGTATCCTCACCAGCCTGAGAGCCTCTGATGACTGTCCTGGGGAGGTTCTCAACCACATTCTTGGCAGCTGGTGGAGGCAGGTGGTGGTCCCAATCTACTACCAACCCCAAGTCTTCAAAGTCCATCCTATTGAAAAGTGACCTGGGGAAGTCAGGTACAAATGTAAAGTCAGAACAAAGGAAAACTATGCTTTTTCTTTGACGCCCATAATCCACTGGACATTAATAAACACCCTGCCCAGCTAGTAGGAATAATAGCTACCCTTAGTAGTTAGTAGATGCTCACTAGATAAAAAGCACGATGGGAAAGTTTACAGCTGCTATCAGACCGCTCCAGCACGTAAAGTGTTTATTCCCATTTTACAAATGAGGCAACAGGCTCAGAGAAGTTACTCAGGCCACGCTGAATAACCTGGTAGAGCCAGATTCCAAGTCAGCAGTACCTACTATTCCTGATGAATATACCCACTCACAGCACACGGCCCCAACCCCGCCCCCATGCCTCAACTTCCGCCCCCACGCCCACCACTCTCCAGCTCCAGTCTTTCCCGCAATCCCCATGCCCAGGCCAGCCCAACGGACGGCCCAAATTATCGAGATGCTCATTCCCACACCCCTCAGTCTCGCCGCCCGGACTAACTCCAGATTACTCATCTGTCCTCCCCAGAATCCACTGCCCCTGGTAATCCGTCTTCTCCAGCCAGCCCCAGACCAGAAACCTGCGGGCTGGACCCCATCCCCAAGCCCCGCGCACCCACCTTGCGAGCTCCAGCAGCATGTTGGTTCGCGTCTCCTGCTCGGGGTCAGACGGCTCGCAGTCGTGTTCATCGAAATAGGACGCCATGGCTGCCCAACCTCCTGACACAGCCCTCGCACCCGGCTCGATAGTGGTCTAGCGGCGCTGCCCAATAAACTGAGGAGCTGAGAGAGGCTGGCCAATCAGAGTATCCGAGGGACGGGCATAGTGGCTCGTTAACCCTCACGGAAAGCGGAAGTACTAATTCGGCCCCCTCTCACTGGCTTGAATAAGTCAGGTGACCAGAGACCGACGCCAATGACGGAGATCCGGCTGGTGAGGAAACATTTGTTTTGGAATCGGAGCCAACACTGAATTCCCTGGAATTTCTGGCGCGGTCGCGTCCAAATGTCTGGTCTGTTAGGGTCCTCAATCTGCCCTGAGGCTCAGAGGGCTTCGCCTGTGCAGATGCTAGAGGCCTCTGCGAGAAAAGGCGGCGCTGGCCCAGGAGTTCAGGTTCCTGCGAGCGTTGGGCCATGGCGCTTCCCGATGCGCTGTCCAGATCCCCGCCGGACACTTCTGCCCCGCGGCGCTCTAGTTGGTTCAAGAGTTTGCGTTTGATTCCTCCCCAACCCCCGAAAAAAAAAATTCCTGCACATTTCTTATGTGTTAGGCATAATAATAAAGGGTGGGGCAAGCCTCCCCAACCGAGGGAGAGAGGTCTCTCTGCCAGAGAACCTGGGGCCTCAACCAGCTCATGGGACTGTTACCGTCAGCCCATTGCTATCCCTAGCTTCTGTAAAACTAGTGGCTTGTACTAAGACCTTTTCATTCTTGGCTACATATGAATTCCCAGAGGAGAAAATGGGCGCGGAGGAGCTTTAGAAACACCCGTGTACGATACCTTCCAAGAATCTGATTTAACTGATCTGTGGTGGGGCCTGGGCAATGACACTTGTATAAATTCTGCAGGTGAAGCAGGTTTAAGAACCACTGCACTCTTGGCCGGGCTTGGTGGCTCAAGCCTGTAATCCCAGCACTTTGGGAGGCTGAGACGGGCGGATCACGAGGTCAGGAGATCGAGACCATCCTGCCTAACATGGTCAAACCCCGTCTCTAGTAAAAATACAAAAAAAAATAAAAAATTAGCCGGGCGTGGTGGCGGGCGCCTGTAATCCCAGCTACTTAGGAGGCTGAGGCAGGAGAATCGCTTGAACCCAGTAGGTAGAGGTTGCAGTGAGTTGAGATCGTGCCATTGCACTCCAGCCTGGGCAACAGAGCAAAAACTCCATCTCAAAAAAAAAAAAAAAAAATTGTTGAAGTGCTTTCTCCTTTGTCATCCCATCTACAGTCTCATTGGTCCTCTAAGCATCCCCAAGATGACAGAAAAATAATAGATTTCATTCTCAGAGAAACAGGCTCAGATGGGGAGGACTGGTTCAAGGGTCTGGTTTGGGGGCCATTGTATTCTTGCACCCACACTCCCGGTCTGTGTAGGGTTGGATCAAGTAGGGAAGGGAGAGGAAGGAGCCATCTCCCAGGGGTGGAGTCCTTTGGGTGATGGGCTTTCTAAGGAGCCCGAGGGGTAGAGACAGATGGGATTAACCAAACTGGGGACCTTCACACACAGATAACAGCTTTTAATCAAACAGCAGCTTTTACTGAGCTCCAGGTAGGGCTGGCCCAGCATGGCCAGTACAGCAGGCTGCCATCGAGGGCCAGTCTGTGGCATGACAGGAAATGCAGGGGTGCACATGTTGGGGCTGCCCTTTGGCACTCACTGGGGTGGGTCAAGGGAGAGCAAACACCAAGGTCCTCTGGAGACCAGAACCGGCCAGTGCAGCCGTTTGGCTTCTGCTTCAGGACCAGCTGGGTCAGTCCCCAGGCCCTGAGGCAGTGCCTGCATCCTGGGTCCGTGGGGCACTACTGCTGTCACTGCTCTGAGGGAGAAAGACGGCCAGCAGCACAATCAGGATGATGAGCAGGCCACCGACCACCACCAGCCCCAAGCAGACCCGGCTACGGATGTTCTCCCAGCGCTTCTTCTGGGCCAGGGTCTTTGTAGTCTTGCTGAAGGTTGAGCTCTGCGGATACCCCCAGACACAAAGTGAGAGTTAGCTGGCACCCCCTTTTCCTGGGAGCCAGCTCCTCCCAGTCCCATCTCAGTAAGGCTTAGTCTCCTCCTGCATCCTCCCCATCTTGTCTGCTTTCTTTTTTGTTTTTTTTTATTTGTTTGTTTGTTTTTTGTTTTGTTTGAGATGGAGTGTCTCCCTGTCACCCAGGCTGGAGTACAGTGGCACAATCTCAGCTCACAGGAGAATTCAAGAAATTCTTCTGTCTCAGCCTCCCTAGTAGCTGGGACTACCGGCATATAACACTGCGCCCAGCTAATTTGTGTATTTTTAGTTGAGACAGGGTTTCACCATGTTGGCCAGGCTGGTCTTGAACTCCCGACCTCGTGATCCACCCACCTTGGCCTCCCAAAGTGCTGGGATTACAGGCATGAGCCACCGTGCCCGGCCTTGTCTGCTCTCTTTCTATACCACCTGCCGTGGAACCCTCCCCACCTGACTCATCTCAAACACCAGTGTGGCCCCTTGACTTTCAGCCCTAGTGTCTCACCCTCAGTTAACAATGCCAGTACTCAGGCTGGACACAGTGGTTCATGCCTGTAATCCCAGCACTTTGGGAAGCCGAGGTGGGAGGATCTTTTGTATCTAGGACTTCAAGACCAGCCTGAGCAACATGGTGAGACCTCATCTCTACAAAAAATCAAAAATCAGCCAGGCACAGCAGTGCATGCTTATAGTCCTAGCTCCTCAGGAGGCTGAGGCAGGAGGATCGCTTGAGCCTGGGAGGTAGAGGCTGCAGCAGATGTGATTGAGTCACTGTATTAGCCTGGGCAACAGAGTGAGACCCTGTCTCAAAGTAAAAAAGAAACAAAAAACAACGCCAGTCTTCTACCTTTAGGAAGGTCCACAGCTTCAAACCAAGGCCGCCTTATTTTGTGGAGTCTATCTGTTGCATGTCTAGGCTATGGGTGCCTGAGGAAACCCAGAGGCCCCACACTGGCCCTGAGTAAGGCCTCAACCCCACCAATGACCTGGAGATCCTGAATACAGCCCAAAAGAGCCTTTCCCAATCCTCTCCCCTCCCCTCCATGCTCCCCCAGGCCTCACACCATATCCAGGAGTTGCTCTGAACGCTGCTCCAGTTCGGCCAGCTTCCCATCACGCTCCAGGACCTTGTCGAAGTTGTTAAGCATAATTTCCGTCACCTCGTTCGCCTGCTGCTGGCACCGCTCCAACTCTTTTCCTGCCTGGGCACCAAGCCCGAGGTCAGGGATGCATGAGGCCCCCACCTGACCCTCATCTGCCCCTGAGATCTAGACGCCTCCTTCTCCCCCTGTAGGTGGGTACGGCATGAGAGTAACAGCATCCTTCGTGTAAGGGTGTGATGTGTGTGGAGTGAAGGGCTGGCCTTCGGGGTGAGTGCAGCATACCTCAGGTCTCACAGTCCTCCCCTTGCACATCAAGGCAGGGTGACCTAGGACCTAGGTCGGCCCTGGCTTCCAGCACCTCAGCTTCCTCTAAGCTGTCCCAAGGTGGGATCTTCCCAGGACCCCACCCTCCCACAAAGCCGATTCTTTTCTCACCTGCTCCAGAATGGCCTCTACCCAATAATGCACAGCTGCCCTAAGGTTTCCCACTGGCCTAAGAAGGCAGCAAAGAATGGGTAACCAAGCTACCTGGCTGGAACACACAGGGAGGAGACCTACCCTACAGGCTAGAAAGGTAATTTTGAAGCAGCACACATCATAGTCTTTGCCTAACCCCTCTCGCCCCAAACTGAGAAGCTCAGATCTCCCTCCTTGGGCCTCTGACTGGTCAGGCCAGTTCTGCCTCCTGGCCTGATCCTGCTCCCTGTATCACTGCCCCAACTTCCCTCTCTGCCTGGGAACGTCAGTGGTACCAGCCCCTGGTCTCCAGCCTTCCAGTCAGCTGGGGTCCTCGCTGGGGTCCAACTTACAGAGATGAGACCGACAGATTTCCCGGCCTGGGCGGCAGCTTTGCCTCCCTTCCCAGCTCATTTCAGAGGACTGGGAAGGGAGGTCTTGGGTCCAAGCTGGGGAAGGTTGAAATGACAGGGGAGAGAGAAAATCTGGGTCATGTGCAAGAAAGGCACTGGGCTTTGGGTGCACGTAACAGAGACCCCAAGCAGGAGGCCCTAGTATAAGCCAGAAGCCTAGGAGCAGGGACATTTCAGGGAGATGAATACCAGTGGATTAGCAAACCACAGAAATTTCTTCCTCTTAGCCTAGTTCCCCACAGCCCATCCCTGTTCCCTTCCCCTCCTTACAAGAAGGGCAAGCTTCGTTTTCTGCCAGCCCATGTTACCCATTGTCTACAACAGACATTTCGGCACTTGACTGAATTCCACTTAAAACCAGAAAACTTAAGTGTTAGAAGAGATCTGGTGGTCACAGAGGGCCACCTCCTACTCAGGCAAGAATCCTCCTTTAGGTTCCTTGCAGCTGCTTGGTACACAGTCTCCAAGAATTCCCAGTGTGTGAGTCCTATCTCCCCAGCTGGACCACAAACTCCCAGAGGGAGGGCAGGGAGCAGTGCCCTGCCTTTGTCCACCACCATCCCACCAGGAGGCCAGCACAGTGCTGACCATTGCAAGCAAGGACTCAGTAAGTGGGCCAATTACGATACAGCCTAACCAAAAGCAACTCTTATTCTCAAGAGATGTTCTCCCAGCATGTTTTTCTAGCCCTGCATGAGTTTCGAGGGGCAGGCATTTGAAACCCAAATAGGTCAATATTTACCCACGAGCTAGAAAAGCAACCTGCTTCAAGAGAGGTCAGGCAAACCACTGTAGGGGAGGGTGCGCTCATAGGCTGGAGGAAGCAGTAAGCAGGAAACACAGAAGAACAACGAAGAGAGCAGAGAAACTGCACTCTCACCTTTTCTTGAGTCAACCATCATCACTATTATTACTACTATAGCATTCAACAAGTCTCTGTCATTCAATCCTTTGAACTTCCCCACATTCAAATACTCCAAGGCAGGCTGGGCACGGTGGCTCACGCCTGTAACCCCAGCACTTTGGGAGCCTGAGGCAGGCAGATCACTTGAGGCCAGGAGTTCGAGACCAGCCCAGCCAACATGGTGAAACCCTGTCTCTACTAAAAATACAAAAATTAGCCAGGCATGGTGGTGTGTGCCTGTAATCCCAGCTACTTGGGAGGCTGAGGTGGGAGAATCGCTTGAACCTGGGTGGCGGAGGTTGCAGTGAGCTGAGATCACACCACTGCACTCCAGCCTGTACAACAGAGCAAGACTCCATCTCAGCAAACAAAACAAAACAAAACAAAAAATAAAATTAAATAGTCCAAGGCCAGGCACGGTGGCTCACACCTGTAATCCCAGCACTTTGGGAGGCCGAGGCAGGCAGATCACAAGGTCAGGAGATCGAGATCATCCTGGCTAACATGGTGAAACCCCGTCTCTACTAAAAAATACAAAAATTAGCTGGGCGTAGTGGCAGGTGCCTGTAGTCCCAGCTACTCGGGAGGCTGAGGCAGGAGAATGGTGTGAACCTGGCAAGCGGAGCTTGCAGTGAGCTGAGATTGCGCCACTGCACTCCAGCCTGGGCAACAGGGTAAGACTCCATCTCAAAAAATAAAAATAAAAAAAATAAAAATAAATAGTCCAAAGCAAAAACTTGAGAATGGATAAAGACTTGAAAATAAGAGTCACTGCTAGAGACTGGGAAAATACTGGATATTATCTTTTTTTATATATACATATTCTAAATGTTACAGCTATTGTTACCTTATTCTTCAACAAGGGGTGATATTTGGGTCACATTCTCCAGAGGGCTGGCTGTGCTTCCAGCTGTAATCTGGACCAGTCTCCCCCAGTGCAAAGCCAGGCCTGCCTGGAGCCAAGATGGACCCAGGCCTAAAAGAACACATTCACTCCAGGGAACACAGAGGCCTTAGACTCAAGTCTCGGGCCCTCTTTGGCCCCCACTCAACCAGAGGAAAAAGGACACTGCCTATATCCACAGGTCTCTGCTAGCACTGTGAGAAATAAAGCTCCAGGGACCCTGGAAGGAGGTAAGCAAGAGGACAAGGGTCACACTGCCTTATGCCACATTGTAACTCAGCATAATGTCCGCAGACAGCAGATATGTGATAAACAGTTCCTGAATGAATTGTGCCTATATTTTTAAAGATGGGGTCTTTCTATGTTGCCCAGGATGGTCTTGAACTCCTGGGCTCAAGCAGTCCTCCCACCTCAGCCTCCCAAAGTGCTGGGATTACAGGCATGAACCATCATGCCCGGCCTAACTGTGCCTGTTCTTAAAAAGACCACTTTGCCCTGGGGAAAATACATATGTAATATAATTAGAGAAGAGGAAAGAGTTACACTGTGTGATACAGATAGTAAGTGTCGGAGCTGCCACAGAGAGGGTGCCATTGCGGGGGGTGACCCCTTGAAGGATGGCATGGAGCTGGGACATTCTGGCACTGAGAGATAGGGATACACCCTGACAGTGAGGACCAGGCAGAGGATGGGCGGGACAGGGTGGGGCTACAGAAGGCAGAAAAGGTCAGGTAGAGAAGACTGGCTCCAAGTGAGTGAGAAAACTTAAGAGCTAGTGTGGGTTTTTGAGTCAAGGGTGACAGTCAAGAAGTGCTTCAGGATAATTTCTCTATTGGTGGTAGACAGGCACGGATAGAAGTAAGAAAACAGCAGAGAGGCCAGCCAGAGGGGTGGAGAAGTACCATCAGCAAGGCTGTGAGGAGATGCCCACCAGGACAGAGAGAGGTGATGAGCAGAGCGTGGAGAAAGGAAGAAGGGTGAGAGAGGCATTTCTGAGACCTGAGGCCAGAAGCCTGCAGGGCTTGGAATTTTGAGCCAGAGCAAGCGGGGAGCAGTTGTGTCATTGCCAGAGGGTGGCAGTTACACAGGAAATGTTCTTGACAGACTGTTGCCCCCTATACAGAATATCCCCTCTATGACACTCAAACCTTTCAGGTTTTTCTGGGCTCAATCTCTTTGATTCCTGCTTTGAAAATGCAGTTCTCAAAACCACACCATCTGGGCCAGGCATGGTGGCTCATGCCTGTAATCCCTGGACTTTGGGAAGCCAAGGTGGGCGGATCACGCCTCTACCAAAAAATACAAAAATTAGCCAGGCAAAGTGGTGCCTGCCCATAGTCCCAGCTACTCGGGAGGCTGAGGCAGGAGAATTGCTTGAACCTGGGAGGCAGAGGCTGCAGTGAGCCAAGATTGCACCACTGCACTCCAGCCTGGGCGAAGGAGTGAGATGCTGTCTCAAAAAAAACAAAGAAACAAAAACAAAAAAAACCTCCCTATCCTAACTCTTCTTGTCTCCCTGTCTCCAGTCTAGTATCCAAGAAACCCTGTTCTAACTGTCATCAGATAAATGGGCGCAAGTACTGGTATAACATTGCCTCCCTAAGTCAGCACTCAGCTCAGAGACTAGGAGTAGAGCTCTGCTTTGCACCCCTCTGTTGAAATCCTGCTTCTGCCACTCACTAGCTGAGTGACTGAGACTGAGGATATGACCTTTCTGACCTCCACTTCCTCTCCTGTAAAGTGCTGATAATAATGACTTCTCTTACAATGTTAGCTAAGGATTATGTGACATATTCATTTGTGATGTAAATCAAAAGCTTAGCACAATGCCTGGCACATACTAAATGCCCAATAAATAAGGGCTATAATTATTGATGTGGCCCACATTTCCCTAGCTCCATTTTTTTTTTTTTTTTTTTTTTTTAGCAGTCAGATCTCAAGAATTGTACAATATGGCCAGGTGTGGTGGCTCACGCCGGGAATCCCAGCACTTTGGGAGGCCGAGGCGGGCAGATCACAAGGTCAGGAGTCCGAGACCAGTCTGGCCAATATGGTGAAACCCCGTCTCTACTAAAAATACAAAAATTAGCCAGGCGTGGTGGCAGGCACCCGTAATCCCAGCTACTTGGGAGGCTGAGGCAGGAGAATCACTTGAACTTGGGAGGCGGAGGTTGCAGTGAGCTGAGATTGTGCCGCTGCACTCCAGACTGGATGCAGAGCGAGACTCTATCTCAAAAAAAAAAAAAAAAAAAAAAAAAAAAGAATTGTGTAATACATGTGGTCAATAAAACCTCTTCGTTTTACAAAATGCACAGCCAAGCAAGCTCTTGCCTATGGCAAACTTGTACACATAGTACACATAATCGTTTCTAACCCGTAGCTCAGAACTTTACATGGGCCTTTGGTAAGCAGCATCTAGTTTATTTTCATCTGGCACTGCAGGCTGTTGAGGTTTTACATCTTGAGCAAGAATAACAGCCACCATCAATGGGCACATACTCTGAGCTAAGCACTATGCTGCTTGCTGTTCATTTGCTCTGCCTCATTTAATCTTCACCCAACAACCCATTGAAGACTATATTATTAACCCAGTTATTTTGTTTGCTTGTTTGTTTTTGTTTTGAGACACAGTCTCACTCTGTCACCCAGGCTGGAGTACAATGGCATGATCTCAGCTCACTGCAACCTCCACCTCCCGGGTTCCAGTGATTCTCCTGCCTCAGCCTCCCGAGTAGTTGGGACTACGGGCGCATGCCACCACACCCGGCTATTTTTTTATATTTTCAGTAGAGACAGGGTTTCACCATCCTTGCCAGGCTGGTCTTGAACTCTTGACCTTGTGATCTGCCTGACTTGGCCTCCCAAAGTGCTGGGATTACAGGTGTGAGCCACTGCGCCTGGCCTTTTCCCAGTTTTATAGGAAACTTTGGTTCAGAGGTATTAAATCACCTGTATAAGATCACAGAGCCAGTAAGTAGATCTGGGAGTTGAACCAACACAGACTCCAGGCATCACATTCATAACCGGTGTGCTAAATTAGATATAGGTACAAGGAGGTCAAACACTTTAGCTGACTGGCTAAAGAACCACCAAACCTTTTGATGCTACCAACTTAATTTGTGTGCATATGAGGGAGGCCTGTGGCTCAACACACACAATCTTTGGAGAAAGGATCATCTACAAGATTAATGAATTCAAGTAATTACTCATTCCATTTCCATCTTTCCTATCCTGCTTTGTTCCTGCTCTGTCCCCTATACTTGTCACCATGCTGGCATGAAGGACATGCCCAAGAAATCCTTGTTGGTTGAATGAGTCATAGAAAATAAAAGAAAAGTAAAAGGAAGAAGGACCAGGGAGGGAAAGGGGATGGGTGGAAGGAAGGGAAAGAGCTAGGGTGAGAAAGGAGCAATAGTGAAAGAAGAAACAGGAAGAGGCTAGGAGATAGATGGGTGGAGGAGCGACCTCCCCAGGCTCTCCTCCACAGACTGCCTCAAATGTACCCGTGAGAATCCCCAGGTTTCCCAGTACCCTCGTCCCCCAATAAATTGTCCTGCCTTCACCTTTCACTTCAGGAGCTTCTCCCCAAGAGCTAAGGGCCAACTGAAGCCCACCCCTACTCCTGCCTGACCCCTTGCCCTGCACACCCTGAAGTGGGCTCTGGGCTCTGCCCTATTCTCAGAGCCTTCCTCAGCTGCCCAGCATGGCCTCAGAGCTCAGTGCTACCTTCCTGCCCCACTTCCTCTTCCTGCCTCCAAATTCCCTGGAGATGAGGCCATCCAGGCATTGACCCCTAGCCAGGCCGCATCCATCACACCTCTGTCAGTTTCTACAAGGCAAAATCTTAAAGCACCAAGCCTACTTCCTGCCCAGTCCATCTTCCCAGGAGCCCTAGGGAAAGGGGGAAACTGGCACCAGCTGTTCCTGACATCTTCGCCTTAGAGATGGCAAGTGAGGACAGAGGCCAGGATATGCAGCAGGAGTGGGGGGGGTGACTCAACTCAGGAATGTGTCACTAGGTAGAGGTTAGCAGGGAGTCAGGCCTGTGCCACACTCTGATAACTTCAGTGGAACTTTCAGAGTAAACATCTCCCTTTCTCTTTCTCTAGGGGAGGAGTTAGCCCTCCAACACCCTGCCATGGGGCTGGAATGGCCTCTGCCACCCCATCTGCTCAAGTTTCCAACTCCTGAGCCAGGCTTGGCTCCTCACAGCTGCGGAAAGGGCTGACGAGGTCATTACATTTCCTACCACTTCTTAGCAGTGGGTTCTGAGTGCCAGGCGGGTCTCTGCCATTGTGTCTCCTTTAACCTCGCAAGGACCCAACAAGGCAGGTATTACCGACCCCACTTCACAGATGCGGAAAAGGAGGCTCAGGGAGGTTAAGTGACTCGCCCCGGGTCACAGAGCTGGGATCCCAGCCCGGAGTCCTCCAAAGCCGGTGCTCTTAACCGCTTCGCTTCAGGAGAATGGGGAGCCCGGGCCCCGCTCGCTCTGCGCGGTGCAGCCAGGGCGGGGCTCACGCATTTCCCTCCCAGGCAGCCCGCGGGGAGTGGAGGGTCCGCCCCATCCTGCTCCGGCCGTGGTCACCGCCTCGGGTCTGACCCGCATGGGCCCTAGTGTACGCCCCGGCCCGTGGACTTCGGACTCCTTTCTCCCACCCTCGCCACTCGCCCTCTGCCCGTCGCAGGGCTGGCCGGCCCCGCCCGGGCCCTCACCATCGCCGCTGCCGCCGCCTCCTTGCCCGCTCCCGGCTTCTCTGCCGGCTGAGCGGCCGCAGTGCCAGCGGTCCCGGAGGAAGCGCAGGGGCGGGGCGGGGCGGGCCGCCGAGAAAGGGCGGGGGGCGCGCCTTCCGCGAGCGGCGACCGAAACTGAGTCAAATCGAAAGCGATGGGCCACAGCGACCCGGGTCCGTAGAGTTGCCTCCTCCCGGGCCCCAGGAGCCTGAATTCGGATGACACCTCAGCCTGGTGAACGGGCACACCTCGGGGTCGGATCTGTGGAATGGGCACAGTGGAGTGAGCCCTGGAGTCTCCTACGTCGGGTTTAGATGAAGAGGCATCATTCATTCACTCAACACACACCCTATGAGTGTCACGGTCAGGCACCACGCTAGGTCCTGGAGACGCCATGAACAAGCCAGGTAGGGTCTTTGTCACCTTGGTGAGTGCATCTCACCCAGAATCAAAAACAGGCCCCCCCAAAGTTTTGAAACTAAAGACAAGTGGTGGTTGCACAACATTCTGAATACATGTTTCTGATTTGTACACTTTAAAATAATAAACTGTATGTTATGTGACTTTCACCTCTATTCAAAAAGAAAGCAGCCCCACATGGGCAAAGTACTAGCTCTAGCCTTTCTGTATGTCTCTCCTCACCATGAGGGCAAGTGCAGCTCTGTGCTGGCATGCACCTGCCATGCACCTGCTCCTCAGTCAGAGGATGGGGGAGGGTGGTGTGTCTGCTACCACTTCAGAGCCTTCCTGAGCCGAATCTACCCATCCTCTCCTCTCACTGCTGCAGAGAAACCACCAGCTACCTGTTCTCCACTACTCCAAGCTGCCTCAGACATCTTAAAATAAGGTCCCTCTTTTTTTTTTTTTTTTTTTTTAAGAGAGAGAGAGAGACAGGGTCTCACTATGTTGACCAGGCTGGTCTCGAACTCCTGGCCTCAAGCAGTTCTTCTGCCTCAGGCTTCCAAAGTGTTGGGATTGGCCGGGCGCGGTGGCTCAAGCCTGTAATCCCAGCACTTTGGGAGGCCGAGACGGGCGGATCACGAGGTCAGGAGATCGAGACCATCCTGACTAACACGGTGAAACCCCATCTCTACTAAAAAATACAAAAAACTAGCCGGGCGCGGTGGCGGGCGCCTGTAGTCCCAGCTACTCGGGAGGCTGAGGCAGGAGAATGGCGGGAACCCGGGAGGCGGAGCTTGCAGTGAGCCGAGATCGCGCCACTGCACTCCAGCCTGGGGCACAGAGCCGAGACTCCGTCTCAAAAAAAAAAAAAAAAAAAAAAAAGTGTTGGGATTACAAGTGTGAGCCACTGGGCCTAGTCCCTCAAATAAGGTCTCTCTTGACCAACAGAGTTGAAAGTTTCCCTCTCTGGGGCTAAGCCTCTGTGAATACAGAAGTCCCAGACCAAGAGGGTTTCACAGACCCTCACCCCCACCTTGGACAGCCTGGGTCCCAAGGCAGAAGCTTCACTTCAGTTCCTTACACCTTGAATCCAGGAGAGAAAGGATTAATATATGTAGCAAAGACTACCCCAAGGCCGGGCACGGTGGCTCCCACTTGTAATTCCAGCACTTTGGGAGGCCAAGGCGGTAGGATTGCTTGAGCCCAGGAGTTTGAGACCAGCCTGGGCAACATAGTGAGACCATGTCTCTACTAAAAATACAAAAGTTAGCCAGGTGTGGTAGCACACACCTGTGGTCCCAGCTACAAGGGAGGCTGAAGCAGGAAGATCTCTAAAGCCCAGGAGGTGGAGGTTACAGTGAGCCATGATCACACCACTGCACTCCAACCTGGGCAACAGAGTAAAATAATAAAAATAAAAAATAAAAATAAAAATCTCATACGGGTCTTTTCTGACCTTTCCTCCTCCCTGCTTCAGAGCCTGATTCTTCCAGAGCCTGACTTGCCAGTCTAGTCCCAAATCCTGACTCTCAACCCTTCCCCTTCCTCCTGACAACAGGTTGTTTCCAATGCTGGAAAACCTGTAGAGGAAACAGGAACAGAGATAGCAAGAACCCTCCCTGCAAACCAAGGCAGACTGGGCACTGGAAAAAGTAACAGTGATAGTGGAACCTGGTAGGGAGGAGGGGGGCCTGAAGACAGAAAGGCTCATTGTGCACGGAGGGGAAGGAGGGCCATTGGCCCTGTCCTGTGACACTGACTGACTATGCCCAGCCATGGGATGCTGAGGAGAGATGCTTGCCCCCTTGGGATAACTAAGACCCAGAGGCCTTGCTAAGTCCCAGAAGACAAGGACAGAGAAAAGACAAATAGAACATGCAAAGCACAAGGAAAGGAATAGCAGTCCATTTCCTCCACCCCTCGGCTCTAGACTACACGGTCGTTGAAGAGAGATGGCTCTGGTGGAAGAGGCAGGAGGCCTTCAAGCAGCTCTTAAACACCCTGTCTGGGTAGGCTTCATGCCTCAGCTAACAATTCCAGAAGAAGAGTACTACAGGGCCATGGCAGGACCCAATGGGAACACTTAAAAATCTTGCGTACCACCCCAAAATGCTATGAAGGTTTTGAATTTTCCATATGCCAAGACTCCCAGAAAATTCTCGTTCTTGAGACCTGTGACAATGAATGGAACCGGGAGGAATAAAGAAAGACATCTTTCTTCTCCAAACATACACTCTTTGCCCTTCAAACCACTTGGACCTCAAACGAGAGAATTTCAGCCAGAAGGTATCCTTGGGAAGAAAAGAAATAGAAAAGCCAAAGGAAAAATGGGAAGAGAGAAAGTGACTCACACATATAGGGATACTGAAAGGTCTTTATTGCCCACTGGCCACCAGCAGTTTCCCAGCCACATGCTGGGCCCTCTAGGTCTCTCCAGCCCACTCTAAGGACCCATGAAATGCATCCGCAGTCCAGCTCTCTTTTTTCTCTCCTTCTGGGGGACCAAGTTACCCTCTGGGGCATACAACACGGCAGCAGGGCCTCGGGGAGAGGGGTAGGAGGACCGAGCAGCATTCTCTGTAGAGGAGGACAGGAAAGGAGACCCTCTTGGCACCCATTTACGGAGGGTTGTCCCTGAAGAGAAGGGCAGGTGGGAGAGGTTCCCTATTACTTAAGAGAAGGCACCAGTGGCAAAGAGCACAATGAAGAGAATGATGATAAAAACAATCACGCAGATAAGGACAATCATCTTCACATTCTTCCACCAGAATTTCCGAGCCACCTTCTGCGATGTCGTCTTGAAATGCTCAGACTGTTGAGGAAAAGGCAGAGTGAGTGACCCAGTGGCTCCTCCCACTGGAACAAGAGTATAAGTACAAGTACAACCCACAGGCCAAACTTTCTTGTTTTTTTTTTTTTTTTTGAGATGGAGTCTTGCTCTGTCGCCCAGGCAGTGGTTCGATCTTGGCTCAGTGCAGCCTCCACCTCCTGGGTTCAAGTGATTCTCCTGCCTCAGCCTCCTGACTAGCTGGGATAACAGGTGCCCACCACCATACCCAGCTAACTTTTGTATTTTTAGTAGAGATGAGATTTCACCATGTTGGCCAGGCTGGTCTTGAACTCCTGACCTCAAGTAATCCACCCTCCTGGGGTGGGATTACAGGTGTGAGCCACTGTGCCCAGCCTACAAGCCAGACATCTGTTTGCTTGTTTGTTTTTGTTTTCTTGAGACAGAGTTTCACTCTGCTGCCCAGGCTGGAATGCAGTGGCGCAATCTCAGTTCACTGCAACCTCCACCTTCCGGGTTCAAGAGATTCTCCTGCCTCAGCCTCCTGAGAAGCTGGGATTACAGGCGTGCACCACCATGTCCAGCTAATATTTGTATCTTTAGTAGAGATGGGGTTTCACCATGTTGGCCAGGCTGATCTTGAACTCTTGACCTCAGGTGATCCACCTGCTTTGGCCTCCCAAAGTGCTGGGATTACAGGCATGAGCCACGGTGCCTGGCCTTGTTTGTTGGTTTTTTGAGACAGGGTCTAGCTCTGTCGCCCAGTGCAGGCTGGAGTGCAGTGGCACAATCTTGGCTTACTGTAGCCTCCATCTCCAGGGCTCAAGCAATCCTCCCACTTCAGCCTCCCTAGTGCTGGGACTATAGGCACATGACACCATGCCCAGCTCAAGCCATACATCTTAATAGTGACACTGTAAGCTGAGGTAGCAAACTGCTAAATAAAATATGCTCTGGCCGGGCACAGTGGCTTACACCTATAATCCCAGCACTTTGGGAGGCTGAGGCAGATGGATCTCCTGAGGTCAGGAGTTCCTGACCAGCCTGGCCAACGTTGTGAAACCCCCTCTCTACTAAAAATACAAAAAAATTAGCCAGGCATAGTGGTGGGTGCTTGTAATCCCAGCTACTTGGGAGGCTGAAGCAGGCGAATCACTTGAACCTGGGAGGCGGAGGTTGCAGAGAGCCAAGACCACCCCAATGCACCCCAGCCTGGGAAACAGAGCGATACCCAATAAAAAAAAAAAAAAAAAAAAAAAAAAGCTTTATCTTGCCTATCTTGACAAATGTACCTTCCTAAAAATCTGGAAGGCCGGGTTGAAATTTAGAATTCTCAGGATCCTAGGAGGTCTCCACCTAGATATGACTAGGGGTCCCCTTTCTCTTCTTACCCCTGTACTGTCATGCACACTGAGGGGTCCTTGACACCTGCTTACACCCAGGGGTACAACACTGGCAGCACAATCTGCCCTTGGGAGGGCAGATCCTGGGACTGAGGGATGCAGGCTCCAGGTGGGCACATCTCCCAGCTCCAGGACTCCTTGCCCCATCGGGACTGCTGAGGCTGGAGGAGGGACCAGGACAGTACAGAGGGTTGGAAGTAAGGGAACTCCTCCTCCTCCATGCACTCTTCCCCATGCCCAGCAATTCGAGTTATAGACACTAAATTTCCTAGTGTTTGTCCAGGCATGGTGACTCAAGTCTGTAATCCCAGCACTTTGAGAGGCCAAGGTGGGTGGATCACCTGAGGTCAGGAGTTCGAGACCAGCCTGGCCAACATGGCAAAACTTCATCTCTACTGAAAATACAAAAATTAGCCAGGTGTGGTGGTGCACACTGTAATCCCAGCTACTCAGGAGGCTG